GTGGAAGCACATGCCTGTAACTCCAGCACTTAGGAAGCTGAAGCAGAAGGATCTCCAGTGCTAGGATTGCCTGGGCTGCATAGCAAGACCCTATTATCAAAAAAAGAAAGAAAGAAAAAAAAAAGACAACAACAAAAGCAAAAAAGGAAGGAAAGAGGGAGAAAAAGCATCTAAGGGCCTGGGGCACCTACATGACCCCAGGATAAGGTTGCAGTCCCTGGATCCCACACACACCTTGCAGAGGCTCAAACAATGCTCAGGACAAAAGTGTATGTTGGACCAAACAAAAGGGCTGAGCTAGAGCTCTACAGTGTGCCTCTGTGGCTCAGATGCTCTGCTGTCAGTCAACCTCAAGTCCGAGGTTAATAAGCACATCACAGCAACACAGTGAGTGAGCACAGGACACCCACACATTAACTGAGATTTTCTTCATTTGTCATTGTGTCTATAATAAGATGTGCTGTTTTTTAAATCAGAAAACAATAGTAATGACAGCTGTTATCTTGGGGCACCTAACAAGAGATCCTTCACATAATTTATTTCACTTAATCTTTACACCACCTCATCAAGTCGGAGTATTCTAGAACCAAGGAGATCAACGTTGACTATACCTTGGTAGTTCTCAACCTTTGGCTGCATGTTACCATCATCTGGGAAGATTTTTAAAAATACAGATCAAATGCCTTCTGTGGAGCTCTCCCAGGTGACTTACCTTAGGGCCCAGGGCCATGAAAGGGGCCACTGAGATCAAGCCTTCCTACCTCCAGAGGCCCCACCTGCCCTTTGATTACGATCTGCGGGGTAGGGGGTGGGTAGGTGGGGAGAGGTGGTGTAGATGACACCATAGATAGGTGGCAAGGACAGTGGCCAGTAGGCAGTACTACATCCACCTCACCAAAGGGCTGAGCCTCTCACACACTCTGTCCCAACACAGTAGACTCAACTTGCTCCTCCAGAGAAAGGGCCACCTCTAAAAGTTCTGCTGTCCCCTCAACAGGATATACAAGATAGTATTTCTAGGAGCTTAACAGGTGCAGTGCCCATAAGAGGTGCTCAGAAATTATCAGCTGACTTCCCTTAAATTCAAGAAAGTACTATCCTAGGATTGCAGTGTACTTGTGGATCTAATGAGAAAATGCATTAGGGGACACAATGGAAAGCAAAATTTGCTGTTCCTCAAATGTAAAGAATCATTATTACTGCCATATTAGTAACCATTAATTCATTGTATTTTTTTTTCTTTTTGATCTCAGTTACAATTTGTGGGTAAGCTGTCTCTGCCTCAGAGAAACAGCAGGCAGGACATCCCAGCCAGCTGAGGGCCCCCATCACTGGGTTTTCACCATCCAGGCTTTGCCATAGATATTGTTCATTCTGTCTACTTCACTGTACTCCACCTTTTCAAGGCTGCTTACCCAAATCAATGAGTGACATGAAAAATGAGAAGCCCACGAAGAGCTAAGTGCACATCACAAACACTGGACAAACCCTGAGAGTCAGTTCCTCCTTAAGGCAGTAGGGTGTGAGGAAACAGTATTTGTGTCTCTGGATGGTGCTCGCCACTGTCACTGGGAGACGCCTTGCACTGTGTGTAGAAACACTTTAGAACAGTAACGTGCAATGTCTCGGGAGCCCAAAGCTCCTGGCTTTTCAAGCACGCTCATTTGAGCGTATATAAACACTCTACAAACTCTGTGGGTGGGGGAATAGGAGGCGCCCAGCACCTCCCAGGGTTAAGATTGATTAACAAGAACCAACCAGAGGCCTGGGTCCAAGGAGCAGGGCATCCATAAAACACACCCATATCAACTGTGAGCACTTCATTTGGACCTGGAAATGGTTACAGAATTGCCTCTCATATCTCAAGATGGAGAAAACGTTTTAAATAAAGTTCTCCTAAGATTAGAACATTGGTGCTTTAGTTTTCTGGGTCTCTAAGGTAAACCAGGCGTTTGGTTTGGCTCCTTCTAGAAATGTTCTCTTTGAAAAAGCACAAGGAAAGCTAGCATTGGAAGGAGAGCAAGACAAAGGATTCCTCAAAACTAATCTTCACTCAACATTCATTGGCAGATACTTTTCTACTCTCTCCTTTACTCTGTCAACCTTCAACAAACCCAGGCAGTTCACCAATGTATACATAGACCTGGGGACTCCTCAGCTCCCAAACTCCTAGAAGTTTCATTCCTCCCCATGTCTTCTCACCATCATAAGCAACTTTGAGAAAAAACCTGGACTTCCTAGAAAATTCGTGGGTTGACAACACAGCCAAAGAACGAAAACTGAAAATTCAGGGGGTAGCTATGGAGCTGACCACGGTGCGGCCCGCAGGGAAAGACCAGTCATACACCACAGCACCAACTTCCTCTCACCCTCCATGAACTTGAGGCAGTGGCAAATGTCGGTCCTCTTTTGAGTACAAGAGGGTGGAGTTTGGATAGCAGACTGTGTTGCCCCAATACATACTCGTAAGTAGCAGGCCAGGGTCTGAAGCTAGATGACCTAATTTCATTCTATGCAGGTGTCAAACTGGCTCAAAACTTTTTTTTAGTACTGGACTTTGAACTTAGGGCTTTGAGTCTGACTCCAGCCCTTTGTGCTCTACTCATTTTAGAAACAGGGTCTTGCTCTATGCCCAGGACGACCTGGACCTAGATCCTCCTATTTTATGCTTCCCACCGTCACTGGGACGACAGGGTTAAGCGACTACACTCAGCTTTTTTTTTTTTTTCACTAGAGATGGCAGTCTCAAAAACTTTTTGCTAGGGCTGGCCTCAAATTATGATCCTCCTGACCTCAGCCTGCCAAATTACTAGGATTACAGGTATGAACTACTGGCGCGTGGCATTTTTGTTGTTGTTTCTTTTTTGTTTTGTTTTTCAGTGCTGGGTTATCGAATCCAAGGCCTCAAGCATGGTAGAGAAGAGCTCTACCACTGATCTATATCCTCAACCTCCTTCATTTTCTTATAGACTGGTGTGCACCACCACACCTGGCTTTGACTCAACTTTGACCATGCTTCCTGTCCTCCACTCCCGACGATTCTAACTGCATTTGTCACTCCATCTGAAATCCTACAAGATTGACAAGGATTAAGTGACAGCCTCTTCTAAGTGTGAACACCCTGGAAAATTAAGTTATTATTCACACAGTAGAGAACGTGAACTCTCTCCAATCCCCTCCAGTTGTTGACCAAAACTCCCTGGCTTTGAAGCTTTACTTGGGACTGAGAAAAAGTGGGTTATTTCTGCTAAATGATCTACCTGAGGCTCTGGTGGAAAATTCCAGAAAACATACAGATAGCAGAGGTTTGGAAAAGGTATGTGGAAGAAAGAGCTAGATAAGGCAGGTAGATTAAATATGATGTTGAAGGTAACATGTCTCTGGCAAAAGTGGGGGAAAGTACCAGAATAGTACATGTAGCGTCCCCTAAAAAACAATAACAAAAATGTATACAAAGGATTGTCTAGGGGAGTGGAGACAGTTGTCTCTGAAAGATTATGAGTGTCTTTTATTTCCTGCATCTTGACAATTTGTTCCTGTAATGAGCATGAATTGCTTCTAAATTAGACAAAGGGAATCATTTTAATGAAATCAAATGCAGGGCAAATGGAAGCCACGAGAGTCCAAAGGCAAGTCCAACCCATCCAAGAGTCTAAGAAATGTGGGTAACTAGGTACATGGAGTTTCATTATGCTATTCTCTGTGTTTGTGTGTTTTTGGAAATTTCCAAACATTAAAGAAACTCATCTAGGGCTAACCCAGAAAGCACTCAGGAAACTCTACTACCTACACCATATGCATACCCCACACCTTCATTCCAAAATGCTGTCACATTATTAATTTGACTTTATATATTGACCTGGTTGAACCACACAAAATTGTCCATATTCAACCCGCTCTGTTTTTTGTTGTTATTGCTGTTAGTTTCTTTCTTTCTTTCTTTCTTTCTTTCTTTTTTTGCAGTACTGAGGGTTAAACTCAGAACCTCAAGCCTGGTAGGCAGGTACTCTACCACTTGAGCCATGCCTACAGCCCTTTTTGCAGTGGTTACTTTTGAAATGAGATTTCACTTTTTTTTTTTTTTGGTGCTTCCTTGAATAGCTAAGATGTCAGGTACATGCTACTCGTGCCCGGCACTGGTTGAGATGGGATCTTATGAACTTATTGCCTGGGCTGGCCTGGAACTGAGATTCCCCAAACTCTGCCTCCTAAGTTGCTAGGAGTTCAACCACTTTTTATTGGACTTAGAAAAACAGCTAAGAGTCAAGGATCTGTAATTGACAGACTTGGCCTTGCCTCTCTTGTAGCTGTTTTTAGAAATTTCCCTGAGCCTCAATCTGAACAGATGAGGAACTAAGACTAAAAAGCCAACCATTTCTTACACTAGTCTACAGTGGAAAAGTCAACATAAGTTCCACTGAATAGACTTAAGGAAAAAGAACTGGTTCATACACTATTCAAAAAGCTGGTGGCTGGAGAAAGATAAAGAGAGACAGGTGTCATGTTTTTGAGCACATGTTTTTGTGCACTGAGGGAAGCGAATGTTGTTCCTCTCTGAACCCTCCAGCCTGAGAAAAAGATGTAGCATGGGCTCAGAGATGCAGCCTTCTTTTTGGTAGAGGATCAGTATGTTAGCTTTTAAGCACGGTATTTTAGTTAGATTAATAAAGCACCTTTGCACAAGCAAATGCCATAACCTTTCATATTTACCTGCCATTTGTTCCTGACCCTGCTTTTTCCTCAAAGAGCCCTGCGCACAGGCAACACGCCCCTGGTTACCATGGAAATTATCTACATGGTATAGGTCAAGCACAAATAATCCCTACGCAGGAAATGCCACATTCATGGTAGGTTTTCCTGTCCTGTAACAACCATACTTCACCGGTGGCCAAAATTTCAGACACTCAATGCAAAAGGAAAGAGCATTTATAATCTGAAAGTAACATCACACCTTCTGACGCAGTTCACCACCTTGCCTGTCTGTAGTCCGCAATACCTACCTGCCATCTTCCCAGGCACAAGGTTTCCACGTAATACACTCAGAGCAGATGTCCAACAATGTGGTGACAGAATAGCCTCAAATAGAGAGAACAATGTGATTCCTTTGCCTGAAATTCCTTTAAACGTATGGGAAGTAAATGAGCAATTACAAGGTCTTCGATCAGAATGCTTGACTGAATGAATGACCAAAGATCAGGAGACACCAGAGGACCAGGTGGAGCCAGAGATAAACACAGCAACCCTGGATGCCTAGAGCTTAGAGTTTGCTTCAAACCCAGAAACATATGCAAAGGTGATGGGATGTCACTCCCAGGGGTAGGTCTTGTATCAAGGATCCACCTTGCTAGCAACCCCTCCATACTGGCTTGAAGTGAGGGACCATGCTAAGAAAGCCCATGTAGCAAGAACTACATGAGGCAACTAGGAGCTGAAGTGGACTCCAGGGCAGCCAGGTCAGCGGTCCTATATCATCAGGAAATGGATGTGGCCAACCACTGAGGGAACTGGAAAGTAAATTCTTTCCCAGTTGAGCCTCCAGATGGAAACCGAGCCATGGTCAGCACCTAACAACTACAGCCTCATGGACCCCAAGCCCAGGACCCAGCTGAGTCGGGCTCTGACTCCTGGCATGAGGAAACTGAGAAAATAGATGTGTGTTGTTTTAATTCACAACAATAAATAATTAAATATGTGGTCCAAACACTCATACCTGATAAGAAGTGAGTTTGCACTCATTCTCTCTTTAAACCCTCATGGAATTAAAAAAAACAACACAAAAAACAGAGCCTCCATCTCTCTTTAAGGGTCTCTGCCTTGACAGGAATGCCTCTTGGCGTGTTGAGTTTTTGGGGTTTTCTCCAAAAAGTTTTAGCTGAAACAAAAGGAAAGGATGATTTGAAGGTGCATTAATATAGGAATTTCCCCCAAAGGTGCCTGCTTCACTTAGCATCTAACAGTATAGCTGTGTGACCCAAGGCAAGTTTCTTATGCTTTCTAGGTCTCAGCTATCTTATGCTGATAATGATTTGAAAATAATTTCCTCCTTCTGGAAAAATGACATACACTAAACAGCTGTTATTTCATTTTTTAAAAAGCTGTGTCTCTAACCTGGGCCATGGTACTAGGACTTACAGGAGCTACAGAAGACAATGAGACACACATTGTCCCTGTTCTCACAGCTCCCACAGTTTAGAAAGGAAGAAGCAAGCAAGAAGTAACTGCTTATAATTCTCCATCTGCATGACTACTGTGTGCCTGCTATGTGCCCTCCCTCCTTCTGGAGGCTGAGGAAGCAGCAGGAACAGCACAGATGAAGATGCCCGCCCTCATGGCAAAACTTCTCTTGCCATGTGATAAGCAAGGAACACAGGGAAGTTAGGGCAAGACTCTAAGGCCACCGATTTGTCATTGATGGTATCACCTGGCACCTTGTCTCTATCTCTTCTCACAAGAAAGGATGAACGTCAAGGTGGTGAACTACCCCAATGATTCTCACTGTGAATCTCCCATTCAGACAAGGTTCAAGACCCATAGCTAACCACCACTCAAGAGCTCCCCCTACAAGCCGACACAACCCCGAAGAACAGGAGCATTTGATTCAGGCTTTTCCTTCAATGTCAACCTCAGCCCTGTGTTAGGAAACAAGGACCATGTTCTCAGTCTGTGAAGACAGCAGAAACACATCTGGTGGGGGTAGTAGGAGGAAGCACTAAAAATGAACTCTCTCTAATTTAAGTAATCTTACTAACCAAGTACCTAAAATGAAAAGGAAAGAATAGGGTCACAGAGGCTCACATGCCAGGCACACAATGATTCCATCCTGCACAGAGCTTCTTCCCACTTCCCAGCAGGCAAGGGTCTAATTTTGCCTACTGTCTTCAGGAAAGCACACCTGGCAATTTTGCACCTTTGTCTCTGCTACTGGCAAGGCTGCAACAGCCTCATAAACAGGGCGCCTTCTTATAGCCTAATCCTCCGCGTCACTTAGAGCTTATGGGGCCCCTCCTCTTTCCCTCTGAATTCTCACTTTGGGACAGCCTGCTCAGAGTTGCTCATATGTGGCAGAGGTCACTGGCTACTCCCCTACAAAGGCCTCTGACTAAAGACTTGACGTGAGCTGCCAATCCTGATTATGCATGGGCTCCTAATATAGCCCAGACATTAATTCCATGGAATTAAGGATATGAATGGCTATGAGTGACTGTAAGAATGCCCCCTCTTCCTTCTTCCCTCCTCCCCATCAGCCTGTGCTCTATTGCCATCTGAGAAAAAATAACTTAGCTCCATATTTTGTGATGAAAGAAACAGTGACGATAATGAAGTCTCTTGTGCTCAGTAAACCTTTCTAGTTTTATGGAAAAAAAACCCAAATCAATAGCCTTTTAAAGTTTTGGCTTTCTTTGTTGTTGTTGTTTTTTTAAGTAGAACCCCTTTTTCCACATCCCCTGCTAACCAGATTAAAATGAGAGCTACTCTAATTTAAACAGAGAGGGGAGACTAGAGCCTCCCTGGCCAGCCTTGACCTCTCCCTACCCTATACCCCACTCCGAGTGCTCAGGCTCCATGTAACAGGCATGTTACATGACCAGTGTAGCCTGAAACCCAAGGGCAAAACCTGGTAGAATTTTTAAATGAGAGTGAGAAGTTAAAGGAGAGTAAAAGGAATAAGAGCAAGACAAAGCAGTTCTGTAGCAAGAAGGAAACTGGAATCAGGCTTTGACCTTGAGAAATGCAAAGCTTCATAAGTCAAAAAGGCACATGCTCAGCTGATGCACCCTTGTCACTTCGCCTTGCAGAGGAGCCAGAGGCGCAGAGCAGAATGACAAACACTGGCCCAGGAATGGGGAGCAATGACTTCAGGCTGATCTGTCACCCCAGTGTGCCCTGGTGAGTAGGTCTCGGAGCAGAGGACCTTGCCAGTCACAGGCAAGAGTCTGACTGCAAGAAATGTAGGAAGGTAAGAAAAACTGAAATGAAAGGCATCCCTATTTTCTGTTGGGTCAGTAGAGACTGAGAAAAGGGCTCAATGGATCTGAAAAACAACACCCTAGCAATTTAAAAAGGAAGATGGAGCTGGGATATGGCCCAGTGGGGGAGCTGGAGCAGTTGCCTAGCCCTCTCAAGGCCCTGAGTTCCATCCCCAGCACCTCACAAAGAAAAAGATGACATAGGCAGAATGAGTAATGTATTCTAGCACAGAAGAGAAGGTCACCTGCTGGGGTGAAGAAGGAAAAACTATACCTGGAATAGGACGTGTGGACTCAACACCTTCTCACTGAGGATCACCAGGCCTGAGCGAAGACGTGGCGGGAGGCTCCAATGGGGCTTCAGGCTCCTAGAATGCAAGGCAGAGCTGTCAGATGGTTGTTCTAGCCCCAGGGGGACTGGAGTTGAAAAGGCAAGTCAGCAAGGAGAGAAACCTTGGCTGGTTCCTTCAGTCCGACTCAGTCACATAACTAGCCAATGGCAATGGAGTCCTGCATTAGGCACAGTCTGCTGACTAAACGCAGGACTTGGTCCTGCAGTGACAGAAGGAATGGACTGGAAGCACATAGTGCGAATGCAGCCCTCCAGATGCGGGGCACATGAAGTGCTGTGTTCTTTAACTCTTACCATTTGCATTTTCACAGGCTCCTGTGCTCAGCTAGGTGCTGGAGAGGTTTAATGAAGCTGCCCCAGTGTGATCTGCACCAAGTGTGACCCCAGAGAGGATTCTCATTATGCCACGAATGCTCCATATATAAAACAGAGAGAGCTGGGGAACCTTCACTAGTAGCCTCCCAAGTCCCCACACCAGCAAGCCTGCTCTAACCCCACCGACACCTCGGTACATTGGTTCTATACTCCTACTCCATTCCTTCCCACTTGTTATTCTGAAAATGCCCAAACCTACAGAAAAGCTGAAACTCTCCATCTATATATCAGTACTCAACATTTTGTCACATGGAGAGCACCGAGGGGAAAAGATAGGCTCATTCGGTCAGGTTCAAGTCTGAAGCTATAGACAGACCTCCAGGTGCCGTATGTGAGCTGAGTGCCAAGTGAGGATTCCATGCCAGTCCGTCTTGGTGGAATAGAAAGTATCTAGGGACCCAGGACCGGCTTGGGCAATGAGGCAATATTTGGGAGATGACTTTATCAAACACAGGAGAGGGAAACAGACTGCAGAGATGTAGAGACTTGAGTAGGACACATGATAATGGCCCCCAGAGATGCCCATGTCATGTAACTGTGCCAGGTCAAACAGTCTGCTCAATCTGCAGAAGGGAAGAAGAAGAACTCATCAGCTGGCCTGGAGAGGGAGATTTCCTGGTGTGGGGACAGGGGGGACTGTCACCGGACAGGTCCTGAGAAATGAAGTGGGAACAGAAGAGCCACTATTAGAGAGAAGGGACCTGAGAAAGACTTCACCAGCTGTCTTTGGCTTTGGATACTAAGGGGACCATGAGCCCAGAGATGCAGGCAGCCTATGGAAGCAGTAAAAGGCAGGACACATTTCCCGTCTAGAGCCTCCACAAAGAACACAGCCCCGCCAGCACCTCTATTTGGGCCAATTCAAACTTCCAGAACGGAAGATGGTTGAGTTGCTGTAACCAACTTTAAAAAAAAAAATGTAGAGCTGGACGCAGTGGCTTAAGTCTAAATAATTCCAACTAATGGGGAGGCAGAGATCAGGAAGATTGTGGTTCAAGTCCAACAGAGGCAGAAAGTTCGAGAGACACCCCCTCCCATCTCAACCAATAAAAGCTGGGTGTGGTGGCACACACCTGTCATCCCAGCTACATGGAAAGCATAAGTAGGAGGATCATACTGCAAACCAGCCCAAGCAAAACCCTATTCAAAAAATAACGAAAGGGTTGGCGGAGTGGCTCAAGTGGTAGAATGCCTGCCTTGCAAGCGTGAGGCCCTAAGTTCAAACCCCATAACTGCCAAAAAAAATTTTTTGAATAAAATTTTTTTTATTCCTTTTGAAAAGTTTGAAAAAAGTCTGAAAAGTGTCACAGTGCTGGCTAGGAGTGAAGCTAAGCCACGAAAACTAACTACTGTTTTCGAATTTGAACTC